TATGAAATCCTATCCCATATCCAGTATGCGTTCTTACTATGGTTCAACATAACCCTAGAACAACTTAAAGTTTATATTAAAGCTATAAGTTAGAGATTTTCACACTTACGATAACGATTAAGGAAATAAAGACGTCTGAGAGGGAGAAAATGGTGGAGAAAAGAGAATATTTGCCATTGTTAACCTCTGTGACGTCTGAGAGGGAGAAAATGGTGGAGAAAAGAGAATATTTGCCACCGTTGACCTCTGTATGGTTGGTGCTGAGCTCCAAAAATACGAAATGGAGAAATATTGAAAGCCACACAATGCTATTAGCGTTTCATGGTTAGAGGATTTTACATCATACCGAAGGAGAACGAGGGGACACAATAGGCGGGGTTTTTAATTTTTTGGATTTCATTTTCCCCCTGGATATTAAAAATATTGAAAAACGGAGACCGCGCGTTCATAGAGTAAAATTATAAAACGACACATTAACACGATACACTTTTAAGATAGGTGCCCTCCGGGTTTTTTTTTTTTTTTTTGGACACTAATTTTAGGGCACTCTATCCTTCAAAATTTGCAAAACTGACAATATTTTTCAGGGCACGCAAAAATACATGTCCTCTATTCGTACGTGTCATTGTTTGCGTGTTATTAAACGGTTATTTTCTAGTAGTGAGAGCAAGCATCACAAGTGTTACGTTTCTAGTAGATCACACCCAAAACTAAGCAAGAGAGGAGAGAGGAGAGGGAGGAAAAGCTCTTAGAAATTTGGTTATCCTTCTAGGATTCAGATAGCTAAAAATCTTAAACCATATAGGTTTATTTATAATGCAGACAGAATACACTGGATAACCTTAATTTGAATAAAATATTATTAATTCAAATTGGTAATTATTCACATCCTTAATTATCCATATGAGATAATTTTGAAATCCTAATTATCGTTAGTAATTTCGTCCACAATTTCGTCCACCACCTTCCCTATGAAGGTTCTAAAACCTCTTATTCAACTATTGAACAATTGCACTTTAATCCCTATACTTTCAATTAATTCTTTTAATCCCGAAATTAATTAATCCAATTAACTTCTGATTAAATATTAATTAAATAATATGATTCCTAATTAATAAATTATTCTTCATAGTACATTAATAAATAATTTATTTCAGTTTATTATTCAAATAATAAATTCATCTTCTCTTCAAAAATCATCATGTCTAGTTACTAGTTACGAGGGCAACCCAAAAGGACTTTACTACTATTAATTCAAGTATATATCAATTATAGTTAAGAGCTTAGACATCTAATCCAATAGTTAGTGAAGTCTAACTATTATTCGAGCCTCCTGCTATGCGTTGTTTTCCAATTTATCACTTGTCCACACTTATTTGGACAATATATCAAGCTCATTAAAACTTGTCTAATATCACCATTTATCAACCATAATGATCAGTTACTTGACCACTAACTAACCTGGGCAACCATTTGTTACCAAGTAACCAAGCTGTCAAATATAACTGCTAGACGACTTAATGTTGTAAGCCGTTAGCCCAATCAACAATCCCGTAAATTAGGATTCATAACCCTTACCAACTAGATTAAGAACTTCATTGTTAAATTAATCAGTTAAACTTATCGTAATAACATTGTATTATGACTCCTATAAAATACTCTGCCAACCGTCTACGATATCCTACATAATAAGATTACCTAATAACGAAACAAACTAGAATGATACCTTTAATTCGCTTAGTGGTTTGTATCCTTGTACCGTCACCAACATTTTTTCTTCCTAACTCCCTCAACGTTCCATATTTATGTTTCCCAAAAATCTTTGTCGAACACAACAACTCAACATATATATTTGAAATTGACTAAAAACCCATGTCAAGATCTGAACACTCCTTGTCAAATAAGCCAGGTCTTGAATAAGGCGCGTCACGCCTTTTAAAAAGTGCTTTTTGACCCATGCCTTGCTTTTTCGCCACGTGTCTTCTATTGTTACGACACTTCAATGCATCACATTATTAACTTGTTCATGTTTTGAAATTACATATCTTTAGTACTTTAAGTTATAACAATGTATGATACTTATTGTCGCGTTCCTCTTTACTTTCGTGTTGCGTTTTCAAAGTACGTTACTCTCATGCTTAAAGGATATTTAATGACTATATCAATACATTCCCTTTGGAAATGCATCTCTTAGCATTTAACATAATAGTAGCTATCATGAAAAAAAAAACACATGTGTTACATCCAAATTTAATTAGACCCCTCATATTTTAGCGTCACTTTATGCCGCTATAACTTTTTTTGGATTTTGTGGCACCTTTTTATGCCTCTATATACTTATTAAAATAAATACTATTTTCCTATTTTTAGTGACATTTTTTTACCACACAAAACAGTATCATGAGTTATGATTTTATCATTGAAATATAATATAATAAAAGACAATTAAGATAATAAATGAAAAATACAATATTTTTACTTGAAATAAAATTTAATTTGTCCAACATTAATATTCTTAATAATAAAAATACAATTATATTAAAAATGTTTAATAAGTCTAAAACTATCAAATTAAGTACATGTTTGAGAAAATCATGACACTTGAATGCAAATGTATTGTGAGCAATCGGTCCTTTTCTTGATACAAAAGTTATAAAAAAAAAAGTATAAAAGAAGTTTATAAAAAACTTTTAACTATAAAAACAAAAGTTTGGCAAAAGGTTGTAAAATGTTAAAATAATAAAAGTTTAAAAAAAGTTTACAAAGTTTTATTCTTGCAAACTTATAAGATTTTAGGATAGTAGACCATAATTTGATTGAGTAAAGGTCTTGAGCTTCAGCGGAAATTAGATTTTATTGGATGTTGATAATGTCAATTAAGTCATTTAAGCCGTTGAATAGTGCGTTGGGGCCAAATGAGTAAAATGGGAAAAATAATATTTAATATTTTTGTGAGTATTAATAAATTAATTTTTTTATGCTTTAAGCCAAATGTAAGTGGATAGAGACGTAGAGTTGTGGGGCTTGTCAATACATTCGCGTGTATATAAAGATCATCGAAAATTGAGTTATAACAAAAAAAGTTATAAATGTTTGAAGCTCATTCTGAAAATTGGAAATTGAGAAATTTACCGAAAAGTGCGGAGCGACCATTTAAAATGCGAGGGCGTCCCGTGCCCAATGGGCTACATATTTGTAAGGGTTTTTTAGGGGTATTTAAAAGCCATTAACCTTAAGGTTTCGTCATTTTCAGCCTCCACCTTGTGTAGAACACCTCTAATGAAACCATAGCCTCTATTGAAGTGTTTGGAACACATCCTCTATCCTAAATCCATTTTGGTACTCTCTTAATGTCCATTTGGTGCTTTCTTTTGTTGAAGTTTTGTTGTTAAGCTTCTACTGATTAGCTTATATGAGTTTTCTCACTATACTTTATATTGCACTATGAATATTTTTTGTGTTATGATGTTGATATGCTGTAGTGATATATTAGACAAGTAGATTTGTTATGATTACATGTGTTTGCTTGTTATTGTTTATTTATATATGTCGACATATTGTGGTTGGGTTGAGGTGGTCCAGTTTGTGAGCTGAAGGCCAAGAGGCCCAGACGGTCCAGTTCATAACTATAGGCCCAAGGGGAGCGACCCGACTTGATGATGGTCCAACTTTGTGCTGACAGCCTAGAAGGCGGTCCAACTTTGTGTTGTAGACTTTATGTGCATGCAATGTATGTGTATTGTTGTGTGAGATATTTTAGGAAACTCACTAAACTTTGGATTAGAATTGTGGATTAAATTTTTTCAACGTACTTCGGCAGTTTGTAGGAAGACGAAAGCATAACTGTACACACCCATGAACAATATAATGATTTCAGAGTCTGCAATTCCTTTCTTTAATACTCTCATTTTGGAACTACAGTTTAGATACAAATGATTTTACCTTGAATATGTCTTATGAAAATACGTGTTTATTCTAGTTTAAAAAATAAAAAATTATTCTGAGAATTGAGAAGTTCCATAAAATAAAAACAAAGAAAAAAAAGTACTTAGAGATATTTAATCTTTTTTTACTTTGGAATCATAGAAAATGAATATATATATATATATATATATATATATATATATATATATATATATATATATATATATATATATATATATATCCCTAATAAATCAAAATCTTTTTGTTACATATCTTGTTTCCATTATTTGGACACATGTATTTTCTAGAATTTTTGAATTCTTTATTTTCCACTTGTCATTTTATTGTATTTTTTATTTTATTAAATTAAAATTCCACATATAATATGAAAGCTAATGTACATGTAAGGTGTTTACTAGAAATGATATATATATATATATATATATATATATATATATATATATATATATATATAACGTATTCAGTGTATTAAAGCCTCATTAATTTTAATAATTCAAAATTTTTTCATTTTTTTTATAAATTCAAACTTCTCAAATTGTTAAAATTTCATATTTATTATTTTTTTTAAATAAACCTATGTAATACATGAGTTTCACAACTAGTAATATATATATATATATATATATATATATATATATATATATATATATATATATATATATATATATATATTATATATATATATATAATATATATATATATATATATATATAGGAGTAGGATCAAATAAGAATACCTAAAAGGTTGAGAACACGAGAACATGTCTCATCCATCTATTATCTTAGATCTAAGGCTATAATTAATTAGGAATTTTGTTATTATTAAAATGTTTAAATTCAAATAATTTGAATTAAAAATAAGAAAAGGGTATCTTGGTAATTAATCATTCCCTTATTTTAAACAACCCCTAAAATCTCTTAAGCTCTCTATAAGCCTATGACTTCATTATTCACTCCACTATTTTTGACTTCATCTTTCTCTCTATACCTAGGGCACGCCTCCCTCACCTGTACATCGGTCTTAATCGCTCCATCTAAATCAGAACCTCACCATGGTTATTCTTGGCAGTGAATGAAGAAGAAGAAAGGGAAAGAAGGGGGCTTGGTGGTGGCAGATTGATCACAAAGAGGAGGGGGGAAAGGACCACCGGTTATGCTGGTTTGTTGCTGCGAATTTAACATGGTTCAATTTTGTTTGAAATTTAACTATTGAAGATTAGTCTACGGATTCTTGATGCCTGTAACAGCCATCTAAATTATCCATACAACAGATCTCGGCCCATATTACTACTTACTGTAGATTGCCAAACCCTATATCAGGATCTTCACTCCCCAGATGCTGCTGTTGTCCCCAAATCCTAGCCACCGAGTGTGTGCGAGAGAGAGAGAGAGAGAGAGAGAGAGAGAGGTAAGAGAGAACCATAAAATCAAGTGTGTGATTAAGGCACAACGTATGGGAGCAGGGTCGTTCTTTAAGCACCGTACCCACCACCGGAAGGGGCTGCTAGGTTCCGCAGCCTCGGCTTTGGAGAACACAATGTTTACCTCAAGGGAGTAATCACCGAAATCATCCACAATCCCGACCGTGGTGCTCCTCTGGCTCGCGTCACATTCTGTCATCCTTTCCTCTACAAGCGTTCGAGGTGAGGGGGAAAAGCCAAGGGTTGCTGCCTCTTTTGATTTCCCCAGGGTTAAATTTGACTTGAGGCTTTTTTTTGCTAACTGGTTGAATTATTCTTCTGATTCTTCTGATCTTATTTGTGTCACTCTCTAAGTTAGCAATGGGTTTTGTCATGTGCCTCGTGGGATCGGAAACTATGGTATTTATTTATGATTAGAGTGGTATTCATTATGATTAGAGTGGTATTCATTATGATTGGATTTGTATTCATTTATGATTAATGATATATATTCATTTATGAATAATTAATTATTTTTATTATAATTTTTGTTTATGTTGTATTCAAATGTGATTATATGAAAATAGATATGTATTACATTGTAACTTGTGTTATTATTTATGAATAGATGTGTAATCTAGATATAAATATTCAATATTTTCTTTATTTATGATTATAATTGTATTGTAGTTTTTCTCTATAAATTATGTTATATTCGTTTATTATTATAATTTAATTAATCTATTCATTCACGATTACAACAGATTCTTATATGACTTAAATATGTTTTTATTTTTGTATGATTACACATATTCGGTTGAAATGGTTAATCTTTTTGATATATTGGTTAAAAAAAAACATTTTTTAATCATGTTAAAAACGTTTTTTTAATAACCTGATTGTTTAAAAATAGACGTGAAATTGGAGAAAAAAATGTTTTTTAAGAAAAAAATTAAATTTTTTAGTTTTTTTTTTTGATAAAAATATTTTTTTAATATTTCATTAATAAGAAAAATAAAAAATCAAATATTTTCTTCTATTTTGGTAACTGATCCTAAATTTAAGGGAATTTGATTGATTTTATTTTATTTTAACTTAATTTAAATATATAATTACTAATATGCACTTATATATTGATTGGTTTAGAACTGTTCTTGCATTCTCAACCTTTTAAGTTTCTTATTTGATCATTTCCCTATATATATATATATATATATATATATATATATATATATATATATATATATATATATATATATATATATATATAGGTAAATGTTCAAATGAGAACCACTAAAGGTTAAGAACCTAAGAACCACTCATATTACATATGTTAGATCTAATACCATTTCTTCATTATTCTCGTGAGACAAAATAAATATCCTCTCACCTCCTTCAACCATCTCCGATGAACACCACCACATCCACGACTGTCGACGGCCGCCTCACCACTGTTACCGCCGCCGACGACACCTCCACGTTGCAACCTTTGACCATCGGCGATAACACTTACATACGTCATCGAAGTTTCAGATCTGGAACCCTCCTCTTTGTCGTTATTGTGGTGAACCACCACAGTCGTCGTTATATCCTCCTTCAATGACATATCTGCTCCGATGAGCCACCACTTTTTCTGGATCACGTCCTCATCTCGCCAACGAAATTAGATCTAAGATTTCCGCCAGATCTCTTCCCCTTCTTCTACTCCGACGACTTCTTTCATCGTTGCTAGATCTTTTCCGACTAGTGTTTATGCGTCCTAGTGAGTTCAACACGACTATGTGTGCTTTTTGGTCACGAGTTCCGGCAGAGATATGTTCCGACAATCATTTCATGTGGTTTTCAAGTGTTATCGTTAAAAACAAAAGGTTAGATTTACAAGAAGTGATTTTCCGATAATGTTATATTAAGCTGTGAATTTTGTGTATTAAACTGTGAATTTGTTATATTAGGTTGTGAATTTTGGGTATTAAACAGTGAATTAACTGTATTATACTTGTAAATGAGCTATGAATATATTGTATTAAATTGCAATTTTTTATATTTTAAGCTATATTAAATTTACAATTTAATACATAGACATGCTTCCATATATGAACGTATAAATGTAAACTTTAATTTGATAATATGTATGTGAATATATAGTTTTTGTGTATTAATTTGTGAATTTTATGTATTAAACTTATGATTGATTGTATTAAGAGTTTTAAGTTGATAATATGACTATGAATTTTATACTTTTTGTTTATTAAGTTGTGAATTTATTGTAATAATTTATAAATTTTATGTATTAAGCTATGATTTTTGTGTTTTCAACTGTGAATTAACTACATTAAGTTGTGAATTTTTTGTTTAAACTGTGAATTGACTATATTAAGCTCCAAATTTTGTGTATTAAAATGTGATTTTTGTGTATAAGACTTTAAATTGACTGCGTTAAGCTATGAATTTTCTGTTTAAACTGTAAATTAATTATATTAAGTTGTGAATTGTATGTATTAAACGGTAATTGATTATATTAACTTCTGAACTGATATTTGAAAGTGTAAATGTAAGTTTAAGTTAAGAATATGACATTTCAGTGTATCAAATTGTTAATTTAATATATTAAGCTGTGAATTTTATATATTAAACGGTAATTTGTTATATTAACTTCTGTATTAATGTTAGAATATGTTTATTTTTTGTGCCGTATAAGTACATAAGAATGCATTAGTTTTTTTAATTGTTTTGTATTAAATTCAATATGAGTGAATTAATAGGTTTATTAAATTATGAATGTAGTATTTACACTCTCATTGCATGACTATATATGCAGATCTGATTTTCAAGAAATTAAAAATAAATAAAAAAAAAATTAAAAAAAAAATTAAAAAATGCGTCTCACGGTCTCACAAAATTAGGCCGTCTCACATGAACCTAACCCTATATATATATATATATATATATATATATATATATATATATATATATATATATATATATATGCGCTAAAATACAAAAAAAAAAAAAAAAAAATCAAAATAGAATGTTATAATTAGGTAAACTTATACGAAAAAATATATATTTTTAACGGTCACTTTCAATAAAGCAAACGTAATTTCGTATGAAACAAGGAATAAATTCTAAAACCGTTTTGAAAACCTCTGGTAAGGTGTTAGGCGTCTCAAACCCAACAAATAAAAGGGGTACAATAGACTCCAAATACACTGCTTTAATGCACTAAAAGTAGTACAAGGCAAGCAGGGTCGAACCACAGAGACACGGGACAAAAGTCTATACCTTTTTGCACAAGGTACTTTGGTCACAAAGAGGGGGTTTGTTTGCAAAAGTAAATAACTAAATAACAATCTACTTTAAAAGCATGCACAAAATGAAATAGATTTGTAAACAAATTGATTGAATGGTTCTAGTTCTAGTTCTCAATGTTGTTGTTCAACTTGATTATGACTTGATCTAATTCAAGCTTGCTATTCTATGTTGGTACTGAAAGATATTAACACGCTCTAATAACTCTCGCTTGCCAAATTATCTAACCAAAACACGCTCTTTGATTAGACCTAGCTTTACTAATTCAACCTAAACACGCTCTTAGATTGTATTGAAAAACTGCATTAAGTTTTGTACAAGCTTCCCAACAATGTTCATTTCTTCTCATATGCTCGGAAGTGTGAAAACATGTGATATATGTTTTACAATAAGAAAACTTATTGCTTGTTACCAATTATTAACTCAATAGAACGATTAGGTGCCCTAAAAGTTAATTAACTGCACAAAAATTCAATTCATGAAAGTGGCCAATCAAACACAAATCAAATTCAAGGATTCTAGTTTAAACAAAAACATAATCACTAGAATAGAATCACAAATCAAACATCAAATCATAAGCTTCAAGTCAAGCAATCAACATTTTTTGAACAAGAACTAGAAACTAGGGTTTCTTAGCCACACATGGCTAAGAACAAATCAAACAAGAATAAAGATGGAATTGGGATGTTTAATCCTTACAAAAATGAAATCCAAATGTTTGCAATGATTAAGTCTTCTCAAAAGCTCCAAGAATTCTCCCAAAATTGGCCTAGATCGCCAGAAACTACTCCCAAAACCGTCTCCCCTTCAAAATGACGTCTCCTGCTCTTTTATTAAAGTTCACGTGACATGCCATGAGGCCATGCGTTTTTAGCATGGCCATGCCTTTTGCCCATGTGTTTTTTTTTTTGGCATGGCCATTTGTCTTGACCATGTGTTTTTTGGCATGGCCCATGCTTTTTGCTAAAATTCCAAAGAGTCTTCACTATTGACTCCATCTTCATGTTTTCTGCAATGGAATGACCGGTTCATCTTCTCTTCATGTTCCAAAGCTCTACGCTCCAAGCATCCAAGCATCCATGCATCCAAGCTCCACGTTCCATGCTCCATAATGCCTGCAAAATAAATCAAAAATAGTGAATTACCAGGCATTCTTAATGAAATATGTAATTGCCCTAATAATCAACTAAATGCAAGAATTATGAAGTAGAATGCTATAAAAGATGGAAATAAACATGCAAAATAGGTGCATAAAATGCACCTATCAAACCTCCCTAAGCTTAGACCTTTCTTGTCCTCAAGAAAGAACGAAATCGAGAATCTACCTAGAGAAGACGACAGGTGACTAAAAAGAAACCAAGATGAAAAGAATGGAAGGAACGAAAAGGACTAAATGGAATTAAGAGTGCATGCATGGAATAAAAGAAGAACTAATGAAAATAACATATGTACAAAAAGATTTTTTTTTTGACATTAATGCAATAAATAAAACAAAACAAACATATTTAATCCAATTAACCTCATTATGTCATTAAGTCGAAGGTGTACCTATCGGGCCTTGAGATAATTTGACATTAACCCCATAAAGATATATAACATGTAAAACAAGGTTTTTAGCCATTCCCTAACGCAACTCAACAAAATCAAAAATTACAACACTTGTTCACTTTTACAGGTATTGGGTTAGCAATGGAACAAATTATGGTCTTACTCTCGTGAAAAAATGTGATGCAAAATATGCTCATTTTCATTTTTCAAATCATGACAATGACCGACTCCAGCTATTTGTTGACTAACAACAATCTTTTTCTAAAAAAATATTTTCTAAAAATTCCCTAATATTTACCCAGATTGGTTACCTGTTTCAAACCACTTACACCAGTCAAAGTAGTTTACAGTCAGTCTCAATGTTTACAACCAAACATTTTTCAAACACATTATTCAATTAAACTATAAACATAAATATATACAAACTATATAATTATATTTTTCTGCAAATAAAGCTCATGGCTTCCTTTGAAATCCGTGTAACGGGCTTCTAACCAACACATCCAAATCAGATGACCTTAGTGTGCTAGATTTAAAGAGATCCCTCAGGTTTACTTGCCCGAACCTCAAAGGCCACAGATTAGCTTTATTTGTTATTATTAAGTTCATGACTTTCTATGGAACCCGTGTAACGAATTTTCAACTCAATCAGTCCCAAACTATTCAGCTTTAGGCGATTAGGTGTAAAACACCCCTCGAAGTCTACTTGTTCGAATCCCAAAGGTCACAGATTAACTTAATAATATTTTTATTTATTTAATTTTATTTATTATTTTATTTATTATTATTATTTTTTATTATATATATATATATAATTTAATTTAATTTAATTTAATTTTTTTTAGGAGGACTGATGTAAACGCGCAAAGACCCGTAAGTATAGTTGGAAACAATGTCCCCAAGCAGGGTATTTAGAAGGGAATAGGTAGAAAAGACTTTTTAGAGCGCTGGAGAATTCGAGTCACTGAGATTTTATATTCATTTTATGACTCTTTGAAATTGGAGTTTAGATATGAGTGAGCACTTACTAATCATAAGACCGGTTGTGTGTTCCATGGGCTAACCTATACCTGTCTTTATGCTTCGGTGTTGATAACCTTATCATTTTTTGTTTTGCACGAGTAGCTTCGGGAGACGTGTTCGTGTGAAATTAGGTTGCTTCAAGATTTTTAATGAAAAACGAACAAGTTCTAATCTCAAGCCACGACTAATTTACCACTTCAACTTATTCAAGAAGATTAGGTTTCTTTAGATTGAATTTTTTTTTTAATGCTTTTAAATGAATGCGTGAAAAGAAAATAAATAAAAAGGAAAGAAAATAAAAAATTAGAATTTTTTTTTTATGCATGTTGAAACTAAAACCTAATGTACAAAGACCCCTCCCCAAGCTTAAGAGTTTGCATCGTCCTCGATGCTCGGAGAAGATAGGGCAACCTACTAACCACGAATGTATAACTATTTAGAGCATATGAACGAATTCTCAACAATTCTAGTCAAACAATCTTAGGATTCATGCATTAAACTTGAGATATGGAAGGAATGTACCATTCAAATGCTTGAATTTGTAATGTGTGCTTGACTTTTTCCACTTCATCTTCAACCTCAAGAAAAGTTGAGCTCTTCAATGGTGGAATGCACAAATGGAGGTAAAAGCTTCCATTCTTCTTTACAAAATACTTCACCAAGCTTGCTCTTGAAACCCTACAAAAGAATTTTGAAACCTAGATGAAGGAGAAGATGGAGTTAGGA